AATTGTTGTTTCTCACCTTACACAACTAAAAAATGTGTGAACTACCCCCCAGAATCCCCAACCCACCCAGGCTGAATGGGGAATTCTGGGAATTGAAGTCCACACATCTTAAAGTTGCCAAGGTTGAGAAACACTGCTCTAGAGCATGATGTCTGGGCAGTGGCCACAAGGCAAGGATATAGCATAGGATTCCATTCTAAAATGCTAAGAACCTTTGTCTTTGCTTGGATTGTTGAGCATCAAACAGATTATGGCATTTTATCTTCAATCCAAATGTACAGGTAGAGATGATAAATGATGAGGGAGTTTCATGGCAGAGCTAAGACTTCCTGCCTCACAAAAAAGGTGAAGAGGAATGAGGTGCACTTCCTTCTGCCCTCTTTAGAGGATACCATAAATGGATAAAATTTAAAACATAAGAACAAAAGTTCTATTGGTCAAGCTTGTGCTTGCCAATAAATATGGAGAGAACTGCACTGTTTCTCTCTAATCTGCAAGTGATGGGCAGGAAGCAAAGGTCAAGCCATTGTTCTGATCAGTGTTCCTATCCTCAGTTGTGGCCAGCCACTTGATTTATTTAGTATTTCACACTCGGCTTTTAAGTTTAATCCACATTTCATTCATTTTCATTTATTTATTAATATTTCAATTTATAGAGCCACCCATCTCAAATTCATGACTCTAGGCAGGTAACATCCGTTAAAAACTCCAGGTAGCACACAACAATAAAACAATACAGATGTAATTGGCAGCTGAGGTAAAAAAAGGAAAACAACAAACAACAAATCAACACAACCAATGCATGGGCTTTGTCACACATCCAGATCCTCAAGCATGTCTTTAAGGCATTTTCCCACCAAATATTTATTTATTTATTTCCGTTTATATGTCCACCCATCTCACTTACGTGACTCTGTGCAGTTTGCAAGTTAAAACAGCAAAAAAATGAACTTCAGCTACGTCCTAAAGGCTAACAGGGTTGGGGCCAATCTGGCCTCAGAAGGGATGATATTTCAGAGCTACAGCAGAAAAGGCTCTCCTCCTGGGTGCCGTCCGATGGAGCTCCTTCGTAGACAGGATGCACAACATGTCCCTTCCACCAGATCTGATGGGACAGGTAGACGTAACCAGGAAGAGGCAGTCCCTCAAATAACCTATACTTACATACTTAATGGTTTGATGGGATAACGGAAGTGAGAAAAAGGAAAGCATCCTTCAATTTGAATTTACTTTGAAATAAATGTAAAAAAAACTTTGGAAGATCCCATCCCAAGCTTCCCACCTTGCACATAATTGGACCTTTCAAATACATATTAGGAAGTAAATGCTGTGAAACTGAGCCCCAATGATGGTTGAAGCAGCCCAACTTAATTAAGTCTTTTTACATCTGGTTACCAGATTGCACTTGACTCTACCCCTTCCCAGGCCTCGCAAGATCTTCCTGTGCTGGAGTTGCTTCTCATAGTAGAATCAAGCTAGCTTGGTGCATATTGGACCTCTGAAGGTCCCCTCCACTTGAGCTATCTACATCTGAAAATTGCAACATTCTGGAAATCAGCCAGAAGGAAAGCAGAAACAAAAGCAAAGATTCAATTTGGATGCCCAGAAGTCAGTCTTAACCTCTGGAGCTGGTAAAATTCTGTGGTAGTTTTCCAGAACGTTGGCAACAGCTGACTCTATAATCAGGTTTAACACCTTTGTGAGGCATACTGTGTAATTACTGATATCACGCTTGTAATACAAACAAGCCCTAACCCATGTGTGATTCATTCATTAAGCCATTTTCTGTTACTGTTCTTTTAGGAGTACCTCAACAGCATTCTCCAGCATGCCAAGGATTTCAAGGAGTACCATCGATCGGTCACCGGCAAGATCCAGAAGCTGACAAAGGCTGTGGCCACCTACCATGCCAATACTGAGCGTGAGCAAAAGAAGGAGAATGAGAGAATTGAGAAGGAGAGAATGCGCCGGTTGATGGTATGGCTTTTTCATTTCCATGCATAGAATGAGCCTGATTGATCATTTAAATGAATATTCCCAGTTTAAGAAAATTATGACTTGGGTCTGTGTGTATTTTACAGGCTGAGGATGAAGAAGGGTACCGAAAGCTTATTGATCAAAAGAAAGATAAACGCTTAGCCTACCTGCTTCAGCAGACAGATGAATATGTGGCCAACCTCACAGAACTGGTGAGACAGCACAAGGCTGCACAGGTGGCAAAGGAGAAGAAAAAGAAGAAGAAAAAGAAGGTCAGTGAGCCAAACCAGTCTGCTCTGATCAGGGATATCAGTCAGAGGCAAGCCCTGGGTAAACCCTTGGCTGAGATGCATCTCATGTCAGTCTGGCAAGAGCCAAAATCGTCTGAGGTCTCGTATGAGAAAACAGAGTTATTTTCTGCAAAATGACATATAGATTCAACTCCCATGGAATTTCTGCCATTTTTTATTATGTATCTCTTTAAAATTATATTTGTAAAAGTTGGCACCAACTAAACTATGGTGCCCACTGATGTTGCATTGCCCACCTCCCAAGTATGTTAGGAAACTGAATCAGAGTACTTCCAAATGAAAATAATGCATTTAAATAAACCTCGCTACATTATTGACTTAGAGGCCCAAACCTCTAAATTACAGTTAGAATGAAAATGTTGGTTCTTCATGCATTAAAACTGGAAAAAGTAATCTAAATGCCTTTCACTGGATTACTATGCTTTAAAATACTTCTCTCCATTGTAATAGATGCTTTTCCTGATCTTCATTTCTTTTAGAAGGCTGAGGTTGCAGAAGGACAGACCCCAGCAATTGGACCCGATGGTGAAGTAAGACCCCCCCCAACCAATTTAAGTGTGGCTCTAAAGTGTACAGATTTTATTGCACAATGAGTATCTGCTTTCTTATGGTAGGGAAACTGCTTTTATTTGGATTAGCAATTGGAATGCACTGGTGTAAGCAGCTGGTTTTGAAAACTGAAAATTGTTTTAGAGGCGGCAGTTGGTGGATTGATGGATTCTCCTAAAAACTCCTTTTAGGAGTTCATATTTCTGGTACTGAAAGTATTTCCTAGTCTAGTTGGTATCATGAATACCTCTGTACCCTGACAGCTAGAAATTAGTGCATTCTGGCAACAACTGGAATGTGTTTATCTACCATCAGTATTGTTAGCGTATCAGCAAAAATAGTGGCTTCAACAAGTAGGACTGCCCAATTACGTATTACCAGATAGAAGGAAGGTGAAGTTCAGTGGGTGACTTTGGGTCACTCACTCTCTCAGTCTAGCCTACCTCACAGGGATGTTGCTGTGGAGAAAAACTGTAGGGACGGCTGTGTATGCCACCTTGAATTCCTGAAAGAAAGGTGGTATCAAAATCTAAGGAAGAAAGGAACATTTATTTGCATGTGCTTGCAAATATATATAGATGCAAATAATCACAATGATTGAAACAGAACCATAATACGCTCTACTACAGTGGGCACATTTCTGAGGCAGTCAGACATGTGGAGTCC